GAGTGAGTGAGTGAGTTTCCTTGTATCAGAATGAATGACCGTGTATTTCTTGTTTTTATTACCATCTGTCAGGAGTCAGGACTAGCGACCATTCATAAATTCGTTACAGCCGGTATACCGAGTTGATGGTATGTTTATCTCCCAATATCCTTGCATCCCATGCTATATACCTACTCATATGTCAACTGTTTCACCAGATATGAGATAAAGAGTAACCGGACAGAGATATACAGAGAGAGCAGACTGCAGCATCGCAAATAGTAGCCACATGTAGCACGAAATAACATATCAGCTGATGTATACTTGAGCTGAATCTGCATTCTTGGTTACCGTCTTTTGGGGACTTCTAGGTAAATATTGACATGCTTCATTCTTGTTTAGTATTGTCTTATATATCATGGCTAGCTTGCGATTTATTTTTTATTTTGTGATTAGTCATGTTATGAAACAACCTCAACTTGTTATGTAAATATGATTCTTCTGTTTTGATGATTGTAGAGGTGAAAATCTCCTTGGTAGGTACTTCAGTATATCACTTTTCTATCTGTAACAATTACCTTAAAATTTGATGTGAAAGATGTCAAGTGTAAAGTTTACAGAATAGTTTTTGTTCCATACACCCGTCAGTCAGAAGGAAAATTTTACCTTTAGTGGACATAATAAACGATAATAAGAAACTTTTCTTCTCTGGGTTTACCTCCGCAACTTTATAATAAAAAAGTTATGATGTATGTGAGAGATAAAAAAAAAGAAATGGTATCTTAGTAACAATAAAATCCAGGACAGAGTTAGAGGTTTATATTCTGGAAAGATAGAGTTTATCTACTTCTCAGGTGATTTATTCACAATTATTAAATGAGTCCAAGTCTTGCCTCACTAGAATGTGTGCAGTAGAAGTTTGCTGACCATTGCTGAAGAATGAAGAGCTGTGGCTACGACATTTGCTCTGCTGTTATTGTGTGGACCTTAGATTGTAGACCTTCTTACACTGGCATATGATTATGAGAGTAAGGCAGATATTGTCCAAACATTCAGCATGAAGCTAGTTATAGGTTGATGGTTTCTGTAAGATGTATTGAAAAGTGTGACTTTAAGAACGATTATCAAAGTCTGAAATTATGTGTCAAAGAGCATTTTTTTGTTTATTGAAACTATTTTTTGTAGACTAATATTTTTTTTTTCTTTAATCAGCATTTCTGTTAATGCTACAAACAGCTACAAGTATGTTATTGTCCTCTGCACTGATCACCACTGCCTCTGCAGCTGCTGTTAGGAGTCAACAAATTTCTCCCTTGTATATTCCAGCCAAAATTGAACCAGTACCTCTATTGCTTTATTGACTAATAAGGAAATAATGGATCAAATACAGCTAATGTAATTATGAGAAAAAGTTGTACTTTTTAAACTATTGCTGGTGTGACTGTGACATTTACCAGATATTTTTTTAAGACTGTGATCCTTTTATATTTAGTCACCATTTTTTTGCATCTAGGTACAAGTAACTCTGAATTTTCAACTTTTACCAAGGTCAACTTGGAGTAGATTTTAAGATATCAGGAAATACAGCAAAGTTAGACATTATTGATCATATTTTTATAAATAACAAAAGAGAAAACTTGATCGATTTTATTAATTTACATAAGAAACTGTAGGATTCCTGTTACACCAAATATTGAACCGCTGCCTGAATAGTCCAGTATAGATTGGTGTTATTTTCTATTGTCACATAACTCTGTTTATGTTAGTTATGTTAGGATATTGAAGTATATGAAATCAAGAAACTACATTGTTTTTTTGTTATCATAACTCAACTTATTGCTTGCTGAAAGATTAGTAAAATGTATTCTGTAGAGTAATCAAAGAGGTAGTCATAATATAGGACTTGGGAGCTCTATTAGAAGTGGTGCTCTATATGATATTATTAGTACCAAATTGATATAAAGACTAGAAGTGCTCAGAGAGTGCATACCTCTGCCAAGAGAATAGGGTCAGCAAAGCAACAAAAATATTCACACTCAAAAAATTACATTAAAATCACCTCTTACTCAAGTACACCAGTGATGTCCGTAAACATAACCTCCTTAGCAGAGGTAATAAAAGTAATGATAATAATGAGAATTACTCCTATTGCCTTGTCAATAAAGGTAAATATACAATAATTAAAAAAAGTCCTGGATCCAGATCAAAATTTAATGGCATCTAAATTAGGCTGAGACACACCTCTGGTAAATTTATTAAAATCTGTTCATATTTGAGTTATCCTGCAAACTAACTAACCAATCAACCAACACTACTAAATACATAACCTCCTTGGCATAGGTAAATAGAAACATAAAAATGATAATGCCAACTCACAGACAATTTTTTTTCTTGTGATATGGTATTAAATTTATTTGTTTGATTTTAATTGATTTTTATTGCTCATTCTTGGCAGAAATTTACTAAATCAAATAGAAAGTAGACTACATAAATCATAAAATGTGAGTTATTGACATATCATATTTAAAATGTAGAATTTAAACTTTTTCTGTAGGGACTGGCATGCACTAAAGTATTTTCTTCTCTTTTCAGTCATGGCAAGTTCAGGCTACACACGAGTTTTGGTTCATCTGAGAAAGACCTCTGCAGTGGAATCCTACCAAAAGGCCAAGTTTAGTGAATGTATATTAGATTTCCTGGGATTTTGTGGAGATGGCATGGTGGAATGTCACTTAGAAGACAACAGACTTCTCATTCAACCTTCTGCGATGGCGAACACTTTGGAGAATACAAAGATGGCTACAAATGTGAAGAAAACTCCCTCTTATAAACTGGTGGTAAGTACTGAGATTCTAATTCTAAAAAATTTCTGCCCAAGAGTGAGAACATTTAAGCCAAAGATGCTGGACGGACTGCATTCCACGGTTGCAATTTTTACTATTGCAGTTATTGCTGGCCACAGTGTCAGGTGCCTCCATTCCTAGCTTACTTACCTTAAGATTGTTTAGACACATAACCTTTTACTTATATTTATTCCTCCTTTATTTTGTAGGTGCTTTAGTTTTTTATATGATTTATGTCATACTATTTTTAGCTGTCTGTATCAGCAAATTTAGTAACTATATTTTGTTTCCTATTTTCTCATTTATAATCTAGACTTTATAGCAGAAATTGTATATTTGAATCATATGTATCAAGATTATGATAGATTTACGTAAAGGAAGAAATAGGGTTTACCTACCTTTTCAATATGTTGTTTTGAACTGTAAAATTATATTATATGCTTATGATATAATTTGTAGATATAGGAAAACAAAATATGAAAAAACAATTACAATTTTCAAGAATAGTTGAGGGCAGCAACATGAATAGTGGAAAAACATTGAAAGAGCTTAGGAAATCCCATGTTTAGGACTTGGCTGTAGAGCTGTTGTAGACCCCCTTATATACATATTTTTCCCATCAGTGCAAGTGAGGAGTAAAGAGAGGTAAAATATATGATAAAAATCTCACTGTGAGGTTCTTTTGCATAAAACTCCCCACTCCAAAAATGCATTTAAAAAATTATTAAAGTAGATATAAACATCTTTCTAATTATAACCATAGTCCAAATCTGGCCTCAATGATAACAGGCAGTAATCAGTGAAGCTGAGAGGAATACTTCTTTTCCATACTCTGTAGTGCTTGTATGAATATGGGCTGATAGTTCAGTGTATGTATGCCATTCATTTGAGCCCAGATTGAGAGTATGTGCAATAGAACTCCCTAGCATTAATGGGCATTACATTTGCCTGAAAACCGAAAGCTTTTTTGATCCTTGGAACAATATATTGTGAAAAAAAAGGAACTGGATTTAATGCTGAAATAGCTTGTCAATTTTTTTTCTTTAAATCAGTTATATATGTCTTTTGTAATCTGTTTTCTATATGCTTCCTGTTGCAACTATGGTAATATAAGGTATAATGTTCTGTAAATTGATGTATATTTTGCTTGTGATTTAGGATATTAAGTATATAAATGGTAATTAATCTAATTTTCATCCCTGCAGCACCCACCATTCTGCCCTGTTCAGCATCTTGATGAGGATGGAATAGCATCATTAGACCCAGAAATCTATAACAGAGGTGTAGATGTTGGAGTTGCAGTCATTCTTGAATCAAGTGATAATCGTTTGCTATTGACTCGGAGAGCACCCCACATGAGGACATTTCCGAAAACATGGGTCCCTCCAGGAGGCCACATAGGTAGGTAACCTGAAGAACTCTATATTTAAAGTGAGACAAGATGTCATGTTCTGAAGAAAAAAAAAAAAAAAAAAGGTGAAGTAATGACTAATGCCAACTTCATCTCAGAGGAAGGAGAGACTTTAGAAGATGCTGCGCTTAGAGAGTTAGAAGAGGAAACAGGTCTTGTTCTCACACCTACTGAGAAAAAGACTAGTAACATTTTAGGTCTCTGGGAATCAGTTTATCCTCCTGTGCTTCCAATGGGCCTTCCCAAGAGACACCATATTGTTGTCTACTTGCATATAGTACTTGACAGGACATCACAGGATTTGCAGAATAACTTCAAGGTAAGGTTTGTTGTTTTATTCCAAAGTATGAATTCATTTAGTGAGTATAGATAACCTTTTTTTAAGGAGATACTATTGAATTATACAGATAATGCTGCAGGTTGGCATACTTTCCTTGTATTCCTGTTGTATATATTATTTTTTTCCTGTTTTAGCAATTATCGAATTCAAATTGATACAGATTTACTAAGATAATAACCAGGAATGCATCAAAATATATTCACTAAATACCTTTTAACTGCTGTTCTTTTTTATCACTATACTGTAGATAATAGAGTGTTTAGAAAATGTAGTCCCTTTTTCATTATAAATTGTAAATGTTCATTTTCAGGGAATGAAATCTTCTTTTCTGATTTTTCTGATTAGTTATGTGGAGAGGAGGTAGATGCAGCTGTTTGGTTGTCAGAAGAGCTTGTCAGGCTGTCAGTGTGGAGAAATGATAACAGTTCTGATGCAGCTGATGAATTGCCTGTCAAGAATGAAGAGATTCCAATAACCTTGGTTAATCGTACTGGAGGTTAGTTTAAGTACTAGTATCAGTGCTAGATAATTTGTGAAGTAATCAGCATGGTTAAGCATTGTACTTTGGTATCCAAATGATAGGAATTGGTTGTGATGTGTAAAGGATGTTTGTATATTTTTTTTTAGTTTGCCTCCAAGAAATTATTTAGAAGTTGAGTAGGAGAATCAGTAGAAACAGACCTATTGATAAATATTCCTCTTTTCTCTTTTAAGTATTTTAGTACTTTATACTGCCTTATACACATCATTATCAGAGTTCCTAACTTTACTGTAAGATGTAAAAGCCTTCCAAATCTTTCAGAAAAGGTCAGTTTCAAAGGTAGTGTACTTGTGAAAACATCTGCTGTACAAATTGAATAAGTATGTTACTATTTTTCAGAACATGCATCTGGTTATCTTGATTCAGAAATTTTGAAAGAGAAGACATCCAATGAGGACTTGAAAAGGGAGAGAGTCAGCACTGGAAGCAGGTGGGTTTTCTTAAAAAAATAATTTTGAGTCAGGTTCTCATTTACTATGTCATTTCTCTGCTTCTGATAATTATTTAGGAGAAAAATAAGCCTTATTTTTATTAGATCTCCAGAATATGTAGCAAGTGGGATTTTGCTGTTGTAGCTGTTTTAGTCTTACCTGCCTTTCCACCATTCTATGACAGGAGAAACTTCCTTACATATCCATGTACTTTTTGTAAGTATGCGTAAATGCAGCCTAATTAGTAATATTTCTTTTTACAGGTATGCTTTGGCCTTGTGGTTGGAAAAAAAATCATTAAATGTGAATAGAACATCAGGTAGCCTTCAGAAAGATTTATACAAACAATTTCTTATGAAGGATGATCATGCTAAAGAAATTGATACATCCAAAGCGTCAAACTTGTGATTAATTGTCTTTTATTTGTGTCTACACCAAAATCAGTGTACACCATCAAATATTTTAAATTTCTCTGTGAAGGTATTAGTACCATGCATTTGTAAAAATTATTTAAACTTGTTAGGTAGTATAGTTATGTAGAACATAGGTCATAACCATTTTTTGGTGGCACAGACAAGGCCATTAAAATGTATATAAATATACTAATTTTAGGTGCACATTAATTTTACTTTTGCATTTGGTGCAAGATATAACCTCAGGGATTTTAAACCTGTGGATGCAGGGAGGGCATATATGAATATAATTACAATACATTGATTTTATTTATAAGTAAATATCTCTACAAGTGATTACTCACTAAGGGGTCATTTACTAAGCCCATCTGATCTACCTCATTTATAGAAAAGGTATAAATTTCATCAGAAATACATGTATTTCTGATGAAGACGTAATCGAAACCGGTCAAATACATCTCTTGTATTGTGAAGATATCCAGTCTCATTCATACCTTTTCTACACTCTACATTTGTCAACATGGATACGGTTCTACCTCATTTATCCAATTCTTTAAATTTTGGAAAGAATTTTTTTTCTATTATTACAACCAGTATTATTAATAATGTTATATTGATACTATTAATGATAATAACATCATTATTGTTAATAACAATAGTAATAGTATTGGAAGTAAAGACTATTCCTTTTTTAATCATGGAATGTGGTAAACAGGTGGACAGGTAGGTCTAGTAATCACTTCCTTGGTAATCCAGCACTTGTGAAGTTACATATATGTAAACAGAACTGACAAAACAAAACTACAGTGGAGAGTGCATTTAACTGACACTAGTGAGATAATATTATTGTATTGTACATTGCGGCAACAAAAGAATATATGTTACCAAATAAAAAAACATTGTTTATAAGGCTGATCACAAGATGAGGAAAAAACTAGCTGATGAAACAAAAATTGTTAGTAAATGATTAGTCATTTGTTAATTATGTGCTTCATGTTTAGTATGGCTACTTTCAAGGACACATCCTAATATTTACATTGTATATAATATGTAAATAAATATAAAGAAAATATGAATTGTTTCTAATTTTTGTATTAAAATTACAAAACTTGTTATGTTATTTCATGTAAAGAAGTATACAAAGTACTCTTTGCTTTATAATTACTATAAAAGTGTAAAATTTCATTTTGGTGAATGGACAATTACAGAGCTATGAAAATATTTTAGAAAAAAGTAAGGAAAGTAAAAAAAATCATATATAAAGCAAAGATGTGTGCTGAATACAAATTTTGCAACACATTACTTTACCCAGTATGAAATATATCTTTTTCCATATTATGTGGCACATAATTTCAATATAGATTCATGGAGGTTGTGAAACATGCAAACTCTGTCATTACTGATATTTCCCCCTAATCCCTTGCTCACTGTTGTCTTGGGAGTTTTAGGAGAATAAGGCCCAAGGTAGGGGATCATCCCTTACCTAAGATATAAGCCCTTACCTCAACTAATTGTGCATGGTCTTTTCTTTTCCCCCTTTACCTTTTCTTCTCTTCTTCATCCCCTTCTGTTCACTTCCTAAGGTGTGAGAGCCGTGCTGAAAGGATGAAAGGCTGGTTTTGCCAAGTATTGCTGTTTTTGAATACTCCGCTAATGACCTTAGATGTTGACGAGGCAGAACATTTTTAAAAATGAGATAAATTACTGATATTTATGGTAAATCAAATAACTTGCTGATATCCAGTACATTTTTCAGGTATGCCATGGACCTCTGGTTGGAGAAGAAGGCAGACCACAGTCTATAGTTGCAAACTACTTTTTAAAAAATCATAAGATCATTAATGAAGGGCATAGAAATATATACCAGTTCGTTTATCATATTATGAAATAACTAATAATTTTATGTATAAAGAATGCATGTGCAGCTATGCTATGATAGAGGACAGCATAAATTAAATAGGTGCAGGCAGATGAACTGAGCCATTATATACTTCTGCATTGTATTTTTTATAATCATCTTGAGTTCAAAGATGTAAACATTTTTGTAGTGATGACTAAAAGAAATATCACTTGTTTTATGATTGTATCTTGTAATTTCTTTTGTACTTTTGGTTTAAGGAGTGTAGTTGTAGCAGGATGAATGTATGTCTGCTTAATCATTATTGATAATATGATCCTAAAAGGAACCACCAACTGTACCTTCTAACACTTTTTCTGTCATCCTTGTTATTAATGGCATTTATTGTATGTGTGATATAACTGTAATTAAATATATGTATCTATGTTTAATGACATAGGTGCTTAATTGTATATTTTTTTACATTGTTTAAATCAAATTTGCAAGTTGAGAGTAATTTTGAAACCATATTGTTGCCTGTTGTTTTCTGATCTGTGGTCAGTACTCACCTAGCATTTGTTTACAAACATTTCCATAAATAGAAAAAATAAATTTCCATCTTCAATCTAAATGGACGTATCTCTCACATTAGACTATCACATAGCCACTTATATACATACCATATTTTTATGCTTTTGTAATCTCAAGAAAATGCCTGTTATTAATTTTAGTTCTGAAGACAAAAAGGTGTTATAATGCTAAAGGAAAATACTCCATATAATTTTGACTTTGACAAAAACTTTACATATATTCCACTTTTAAAGGAACTTACTACAAGAACCACTTTGCAGAAATCAAGTAAGTAAGAACAGATACAAGACTTGGCCTGTGAAGTTTGTTCAAATGTTGAGAAAAAAAGAAAAAAGATGAATGTTTATATATGCTGCTAAGATGAATAACAAAGCAAACATATGGATCAATAATTCTGTCATGATAATTTCTTCAACAGCACACGTTTACGTGGTTGGTTGACGTTATTGAAAAATGCTTGGCTCTTGCATAAAAGGTATGGGGGATAACCTGACTTAGTTTAAACGCATGGAGCAAATCTCTGGCAACTAAACCAACTTTTGCAGGGAATGGAATACCACCAGCAAGGCCAAGGGAATCCTCTATCTTGCATAAGATGAGATAATAAATTTGTATCGGAAGGTATTTATTATGATTGAATAAAACGTTGCAGAAACCCCAGAAGAATATAAAAATGTACAGGTGGTGTGTGTAAGACAGCCCCATGCAATCAGAGTAAATGCGATTTTGGACTCAGCTTACCTTGAAGTCCCCCTTTTCACGCCATCATATTTTATTTTAATGTTTTTCTAATTATTTTTCTTTGATTTCTAGGCATAAGTAATATAAACCTAAATTAAAAGACATAATGTACATACATATAAATAAACATGATTATTTGCATGCACCACACTCTTCCTCAATTTGCCAATTTTGTACAAACTATAATATAAAAAATTAAATTGGGCTTATAGCTGTCTCCTTTTTCAACCTAAACCTATATGCCAAAATTAGAGCTTTTAAGAAAAAAAACAGAAATGGGTTAATTTTTTAGCTTTTGTCTGGAAAGGCAACATGGAAACATTGGATTTATCTCTCTCTCCTCTCCTCTCCTCTCCTATCTCTCTCTCCTGCCTCTCTCTCTCTCTCTCTCCTCTCCTCTCATCTCTCTTCTCTCTCTCTCTCTCTCTCTCTTCTCTCTCTTCTCTCTCTCTCTTCTCTTCTCGTCTCTCTCCCTCTCTCTCTCTCTGCTCTCTCTTTCTCTCTCTCTCTCTCTCTTCTCTCTCTCTCTCTCTCTCTCTCTTTTCTCCTCTCGCTCTCTCCTCTCTCTCTCTCCTCTCTCGGCTCTCTCTTCTCATCTCTTCCTCTCTCTCTCTCTTCTCTCTTCTCTCTCTCTTCTCTTTTTACTGATTCTCTCCTCTCACTGCCACTCTCTCTCTCTCTCTCTCTCCATCTCTCTCTCTCTCCTCCTCCCTCTCTCTCTCTCTCTCTCTCTCTCTCTCTCTCTCTCTCTCTCTCTCTCTCTCACACTCACACACACACCACACACCACCACACACACACACACACACACACACACAACACACACACACACAACACACACACACACACACACAACACACACACACCACATTCTCAACTCTCTCTTTTAATCACTTTATTTCTTTCGCTCTTACTGATTCCTCTGTGATGTGTAGTGAAACGCTAGCAATCTTGCTGACATGCGTTCGATCCCGCGCTGCCAGTGTATGGTAACCGTGACCATTCCTTGCACACACTGGATGCTTTTTAGAAGTAAATAAACAGTGTCCATTGTAACAAATAGAATTAAACTTAACCTTTTTAAGCCTTTTAAATCTCTCTCTCTCTCTCTCTCTCTCTCTCTCTCTCTCTCTCTCTCTCTCGTCTCTCTCTCTCTCTCTCTCGCTTCTCTCTCTCTCTCTCTCTCTCTCTCTCTCTCTCTCTCTCTCTCTCTCTCTCTCTTCTCTCTTCTCTCTCTCTCTCTCTCTCTCTCTCTCTCTCTCTAGGTTGATGTAAGGAAGAACGAGTGATATTTATATTTTTCCCTGTCATGTATAGTTTTTGTTATCGCACTCTGATGTTAATATGATCTCGGCACATGTTATTTGTTTTGCTTACTGATTGTTCATGCATGATGCAAACATGCTTAGGGATGGTAGGGGAAATATCACACCTGAGTTTTGTTACGATACAGCTATTGCAAATACTAAAAATTGCAATTATTGCATAAAATCAAAACATATGCTTATGATAGTTCTTATTTTAGAGAAAATGTTCCCTTCTCATTTTCAGCTTGTCTCATAAAATGCTCAAAGTAAGACTGTCTCAACTGTCTTAACATGGCTTCTAAAGCGCCAAATGTTTATAGCTGTTTACCTGTTTCTGTTTCAATCCACCAAAGTGCTTACAAACTAATTTACTCAGTTGAGGGACTGCGTCAAGCCTCACACAACAGTATGGTAATAATAGCAATTAAAAGAAATATAGAAATATATATATATATATATATATATATTATATATATATATATATATATATATATATATATATATACATATATACATAATATATATATATATATATATATATATATATATATATATATATATATATATATAATGCATTCAATTTTACATAATGCAAGTCCTTAAATAGAACAAACAGAACACGTGACTCCTGTGACTGGGTCTAAGCTGCACCAAATGCAGTCAAGCACCAATGAATCTTGCATGCTTTTTAATCAAACTTAAAAAATAGTTTTATATATACTACAAATAACAAAGACATTTCATTTTGGTAATTTATTACTTGCATATCAATTTAGTATGAGTTTGATGAAGTAATACTCGGCAATAAAATAGTTTTATATATACTACAAATAACAAAGACTTTTCATTATGGCAACTTATTACTTGCACGTCTTTTTAGTATGAGCTTGATGAAGTAATACTCGGCAATGAGTGTCTGGGGGAAATTGTATCTCAAGAGCTCGTATGGGTAAGCCGCCATTGCAGTTAGGAGACACTCAAACCCCTTATGCTGAAAAAAATGGCATGTTGACATAACCTTCACATCGGATGTTGTAATAACAGTCTCACTGACCCAAGAGAATGGAATTATTAGGGCTATAGCTGAATAACTTCAATGTGATTGTATATCACGCCGTATGTGGTAGATTGTAACAGCTCAGACAAAAATATTCTATGTGGGGATATCAGAATCCTACATATAATTTTTTTATAGCCATTTTGCGGGTATTGAGGGCCCAAACAAAACCATGTGGGGGGTTTTGTCACTTGGCTATTTTTCCTTCTATGTGTATGGAGAAGTTGATCTAGAAGATTTTGAAACACCACTATATCCCATGTGATAATCAGTGTGTATAGCAATCTCATCAGGGTCCCCGGAGGTCCATTATTCCCCACTATAGGTATGGTTGGGTTGGGATTGCAGTGGGATAGGGTTGGTCTGTTTAGGTTACGGAATGGAGCTGGGAAAATAGATATGCATCCTTCTCGTTATGCATCTTATTAAACCTTAAAAGGTTTCCAAAACACCTGTGTCGTCCCAAAGCGCAGTTACAGTAATGAGTGCCCACGTTTATCCTTTCTTTGTGCACAGATTTAACAGGGGTCCCCTCCCCCCTCCCTTCTGTCAGGCTTCCCCTCGCAACAGGGGGAGAGTCAGTAGACTGCCTGGCTCATTTCTGGGATTCGCAGAATTCGTCACCCTGGGAGAGACTGCCAAGTGTTTTTTTTTTTTTTTTTTTTTTATTTTTTTTTTTGCTTTTCTTTTTTGTACGCCATCAAAGTCAGCCGATAGCTACCTCTCTTTTCATCTCAATAGCTTCCTCTTCCTGGTACGGGTACAGGTGTGTAATTACTTATTTGTCCAGGTGTGTGCAGACATGATTCATGCCGTCACTCTTTTCCTCAGTGTGCATGTAATCAGTAGAATATAAAATAATGGATATGGACCACGTCGTTACACTGTCAATGTCATGTCTTACCTCTATAGTATAAATTTATCACCTCAGTTACACGCCGCATTCTCCACCATGACAACGCTCATTTAACCTCTTCGCCATCATTCTACACCATCACACCAACATGCTCCTCCTCAACATGTAACGTGTCATTTACCGTGTTCACATCTGTCTCAGGACTCTCTCCCAAAAAAGCTAATACCACGTTATTGCATCTATTACTTTATGCATGTGCAGACTTGTTGAACGGAAATAGCCTAATCATTGTGATGTTCCGGGCACGCTAATCGTTGCCAAATTTCTTTACCCGCCCCCCCCCCTCCTCATCCACCTCATC